ATAATCCCTAATAATAATCCAATTACCTTGACTTTCCCATCTTCTTTATATTCGTGCCAAGCCACACCATCCATGCTGTACTCAACCTTAAACTCAGTCACCCAAGCGGGATAGCTCACGACCCCTTGCGTGTCGATCCTTGTAACGGTATGAATACGTAAAAGGTCTACTTTTATAAACGGGTGATGATCGTCTGGATCTGCGCACCATCCAGCTATGCTTGTACGCCTGTAAGACAAAAACAAAAATTTATTTATTTGACAGATCTGTATATGACAACCATTACTSTATGCAAATAGACAGCCAAACCGGCCACTGCCGTCGCTCCTGCAAAAAGCTAWTCTTAACTTACTTTTCATTTAATCTGGCCAATCGTGATCCGTTACCCTTATTACTAGTGGTCATAGATGATGACGCAGTTATTTGACTGTCATGTATGTATGTCTTGGTGCCTTTCCATTTGCTTTCCATTCCAAGGGGCTTGGTGCAGTCTGTAATAGAATATTTCATAGGATATATAATAATTGYAATCAATCCATCCATCCATCAATCAATCATTTAAAATGATGAATTTGAATTCTCTTATAGTCCACTGATTATTTTGCGTAACGGTTGTACATTAGCACATCAAAACGCACGTAAAACGTAAGATAATGCGCTCACAATCCGTGTCCACAACATACTAACGCTTGTGCCTCGAGACTCATATAGACGTGGGATGGTAAAGACGTGCGATATCAGATGGCGATCGTTACGTAAGTTGTCGCGCTCGTTCAAGTAATTATGTTTCGTCTTCGTCTCCCAACAAGGTGATCTTCTACTGTCTCCTTGTTTACTCAAGTTAAGTGATCTTGCGTGACATGTCATTTAGYTGTATCAGTCGCTACGTAATTTGTCACGCTTGATGTGATTACGTATCGTCCGTAACGCATCACGTAAACCGCCTACTTGAACAAACTTTTTGATACGTAACTGTTGTAATATTTCCTTCACCCACCAAGATCAACATTACWACTTGATGTTTACCTTGATAAGAAAACAAACCACTTTGATTGTACGCAAAAGAGTTTGGCATTATTTCAGGATAAAAATCCACAAATAAAGTCTGAAAACTAGCGAAATCTAGCGTGATTTATTGCTGTGTCGACGGATAACAAAACGTCTGGAACATAAGCCCGTAATTTAACGTTGTTGCTTTCTGAAACTTAGTTCTTTTATGTTTTGCCTGTTTAAAAATTGTTTTTATGTTTCCTTTGATTGTTCGGGTGTAGATAACTCCTGATGGCTACTGGACTAGCGTCTATACTAACGAATTTTTGTTTTGAGACGCACAACAAATCGCGCGATGATCTGAGAACACACGCGTGAAACAAAAAAAAGGCAACTTTATCCATGACGCTAAGGTGTGATCTATAGAACGGCAAAAGATAACACACTCAATTCGCTGGGTATCAGTAAAATTATAAATGCCCGTTTACACTTGCGATTTTTGCAGAGCGATTCTCGCGCGACCATCGTCTGAGTTTCGAACATGCTTGAAAATTGGCCAACTTTCACGGCGAACTTCCATCGTCGCAACAATCGCAGGGCTGTTTACACGCACGAGTACATGTGGAGATTRTCGCGCTGCAAAAATCGCAAGTGTAAACGGGCCTTTAGAAAAGAAAAGCAGAAAAGTTTGTAGTTTCAATGCGAGATGATATGGTTTCCATGATACAATACTTCATTGCACTCAAGGTCAGTAAAATTATTTTACGAAAGTGGACGTTCCGGCGTTTGTAGTCCAAAGGTGTCAAATATATCCCAAAATTTCTCAATTTGATTGTAAAGTCGTGTAAATTGATATCGARCTACACCTATCATCGTTTTCTTGAACAGAAGAGGCATATCTATTCTTGGTGGGGATGCACTTCARTACTACGTCACCTAGGTTACAGATGACGTCAAAAAGAGGGGGGAGCGTCGCTGGGTTTGGGGATRATATCCGGATTAATCGCGATTATGACGACTTTTCAAGTATGTGGGATAAATATATTCTTTTATTGATCCTGTTAAATATCAGGAATAGAAACACAGAGGAAAAAATACGAAAATATTGGAAGGGGAAGTTACGACTAATAGATGAACAAAATCCATGAATAAAAAAAAAACAACACCAAAAAAGAACAAAAACTTGAAATAACCGAAAGTGGAATATGTCTAGAGAACTGAACGATGGACGGTTCTTTTTGTGTGCTTTGAAACTCAAGACCATAGGATTAGATAGATTTATATATAACCGTGAAATACCCGAGAAACTGTAATCCAAGGTGTTTGACACCCATTACATACTTTACTGATGCGAAATGAAAATAAATTGATGAAATTTAAAATTCGTAAGATAGAACTTAACTTAAATGGTAACTTGAACAKTAACAACAACAGAAACAGGAACACCATCAACAAACTTGTAACGGCGATCAATGGTGGAATGGTACTGTTTAACTTCTCTTGCGTGGAAAAGAGAAGTATGAGCAGGCTTAATTGAAAAACACAATACCGCGCGCGACTGAACAAGACGGAAGAGTAGCTCTTACAACTGTAACAAAACTAAACTCAACGCAACGGAACGACAAAAACCATCCTCAGTGACACGAAAATAGTATACCAGGACTAAAATACAAGAAACTACAAAATAAATAACGAAACAAACAGCCAAATTATTCCATATACTGCCGTGTTTTCTGTTTACTCAGAAGACGACCATAGTTAACGCAGATTAGCGAGAACATACATTGACAACGTATTTCCGAGATGAACCAAACACAGCTCAAAATCTCAGCCACATCATCGTCACAATGGCTCAMGGAAAGATAAATCTGTCAGTAGTTCTCGAAAGTAAAGGATTTTTTGAATATTGTGGCTTCCTATTATATGTTACTTCCCAACCGTGCTTTGCTAGCGAGAAAAATACTAATTATGTTTTTCGTGCTCAATTTGATAAAGATTATTTTCCACGACGTCGGAGGTTAATTGCCGCGATTAAACGAGGGTTTTYACTATTGGTATCAGACGTGTTAGCTGTACAAAGGATGTCGATTTTTGTGTAAATAGTAGAACGGAAGATGACTGAGGCAAAAGAAATGATCGACATGTCGAAAAACCACACGATCTTGATGTTTGGTAAATAAACGAGTACTTCAGATCCACAAATAATTACCACAGTACATTGTATGAAAAAAAACTACTTTCTTTACTCAACAAATCTTCTGATTTTTAAACGCAGTTGTACATTTGGATCAACAAATCGAAGAAAATTGAAAAAAAGAAGAGAAGAAGAGAAGTAAAGTATGTCACGTTTCCGCAATGACTGAAGACRCTGATCGCTGAAGTGTGTCAAAGATACTTTTGATGAACGATGAAGAATTCACTGAAAAGTACAACTTTGCATTTTTCCCCTCAAGAAATTCAGGAAAATATCACTGTACATAAATATCAGTATAATATTTTGTATTATAACATACCAAAACCTATTTTGACAGAGATTGGATAACAAAGGTGTGACGAAGGGGGTCAATATATTGACGTAGTTTGAGRGGAAAATGACACCAAMGTTGCAATACATATGTATGGGAAAGAACTTTGAAAATAATTATCAAAAACTGTGACCAATTTGAGCTACCATGCTAAGAACTTCTGAAGTAGTTTTATCTAATTAATAGTAACAGTTTTGTTTTTTTAAGCTAGAAAAGAAATCATGGATCACAGAACAACATCAAACATTTTAGCAAAACCAAGTTGCAGCAATTTGATGGAGTTGGATGTCCTTGGTGGAGCTCATATCATATGTTGGATATTTAATATTTGAAGGCGTTCAGCCACCCATCATTAGACCATCCAACAATTTAGGAATGGTTTTGGGTTATAAAGATTTTTTATGTGACTGGGTTTTCATGAATAAATGATTCAAATTGAAATCATGATACTATGATATCATTATTACTATTATTAAAATATTATCGTTACTATCAAGATACTGTAACTTAAAGAGTTTTGTGTTGTTCTTGTTTAGTTCTATTATTTTTGTCATTCATTTTCTCAATTCAGTTAATTGCTTCTTCTTTCGTCAGTAAATCAAAATAATCAAAGATGAAAAGGAAAAGAGTCTTTTGACTACTCGAGTTTGACATAAATATAGCTTAAACTTATGAACAAATTTCTAGATCTCCCAAGTTGCAAATACTGAGTCTTACATCATGCGCTGACTTCAATAGAAATCAATTTTCAGTATTTATAGTTCAAAGGGTATTTTATTGCCTAGAATAACCTCCTTTCAAATCCCTTTAACTTTCTATGATTCTAGTTCAATGTAAATGACTCTGGCCTTTAAGTTTTTCTTCTTATAAACATTGCATTTGCAATGGACAGCTGTAAATAKGTGATATTCAAGATTTGAAAAAGGCTTATTAAGAAAAAAAAAACAATGGTGYAATAGTCTTYAGCAAGACYRATTTGTGACAGCACAAAAAATAATAACAGCAACAATTAGTCATGCTWTACAACAACAAAAAATAACRTGYAGTTTATTCCAAAAGTTSATCCTGAMGCAMGAAATGAAGAGTAAGAAACCTCTAAAAGCTAGGAAATGCAGCAGTAATAATATTTGTGAAAAAAGTTTATTTCCCACTTTTTTCTCAATCAACTTTCAATTTATTCTTTTTGAAATAATAATTATGTTTTCATTACTAAGCAAGAAAATGTAAAGCTATATTTCAATTACATGAGAAATGTTTATAGGAGTTTTACTTGTAAATTCAGTCGTAAAGTGAACAACAAACCATGTCGGTTCATGGAAACTTTCCTTCCTCTGCTGTACTATAATTATTCTTCAACGCTAATCTAAATAGTTATTTATGACCTGGAAACCTAAATATTCAGCTATTAGGTAATTTTTATCTGAATTCTCCGTTGAATTTGTTAAGGCGGTATTTTTCTAAACAGTGTGTATGGGGAATCTTCTTGTACATCACGAAAATATCCCGCAATTTGGATCAAAAATGTAAATTATTCAATGTCAAACCGCATTTCAGTAGATTAGAGTTGACAGTTAGAGTTTCCACAGCTATTTGCTATTTAGAGCATAAACCGAAACATTTGTCTCTAACAAAAATACAACAAATAAAATCTGAAATCYAAACSGGRAMMA